AGCCACGGGCCCACACTTATGAATGTACTCTTATCAATGTGAATGTTAATATGTCAATGTGAATATTCACATTGTCAACGGGCAGGGCCGGACCCGCCCCGTGTTGCGAGCGGGCTTTTGGCCGCGCATGGGCCGCGGCCCAATTTTATACTTCTATCAATGTGAATGTTAACTTGTCAATGTGAATATTCATATTATCAACGGGCCGGGTCAGGCCTATTTTTTTGGCTTGTGGGCCGGCCCAGCCCAACTCGAATTTTTTCGGGCATCCACGAGGATCGATATGAGCCGGGCCCCTACACATTGACGATATAAACATTTATATTGACGGTGTGAACATTCACATTAAGGGTATTTTGGTAATTATGTCACCCATAGGACTTATTGAAACATAAGAAAATAATGTGAACTAAATGGAACATAAGTAGATGAAAAGGGTATTTTGGTCTTCTTATCTCAAATTGGACCTAATGGAATAGTCAAAAAGAATATGGGTTGGATGGAATAAAGCTCTTAGAAAATGGATTTATCAAAAAAATTCCCATAATTTATCCAACTAATTAGGGCATTTTCCCATAATTAACATAACAACCCCAAGGTTCCACTTTCATCCATAGTTCATCACCTATATCATTTCTCTATGCCAAACATGCATATAGGTTTAATTATAAATAAAACCCCATCGTTTGTAAAATTACACAAAGACCCAAACTTTCTCAAAATTACCCAACAACTCCCAACATATCAAAATGCTAAAATTCAAAGACAAAGCTCATAAAGAGGAGTAGGATATCCTTACCTCGAAGTTAGGGCTCAAACGGGAAAGTTGAAGAAAACCAAAATGCTCCAAACTCCAAGATCCACGGATCAAAACGAAACTCTCGACGATCAATACACTTTTTACAAAGGCCGGAGGATAGGGTGACACTCTAACTAGATCAAACCCTAGAGAGAAGGGAGATCCTAGAGAGAGAAGCTCTCAAAAAGTGCTTTTAGAAAGTAAGAGAGAGAGAGAGAGAGAATGTAAAAAGTGATTTTAAAACGCCCAGCTGCCAACTGATATACGACATTCCCGCTCGAGCGGATAACAGGACACTCGAGCATCAAGAATAGAAAACTGAGCCCGCTCGAGCGCAAGAATTCCCGCTCGAGCTCCAAGACACAAAGACAAAGCACACCCGCTCGAGTGCGAAAGACCAGTCCACTCGAGCGTAGATTTTCATCTCCCAGAACTTTCAGCAACGAGGTACTACCCGCTCAAGCGCCAACAAGCCTGCTCGAGCGCAAGAAACCCGCTTGAGGGTAGAAAACACACCTGCAGAAGTTTTGTAGGGATTCGAAATGCTAGAAGGATGTAAACCCCGCTCGAGCGCAAAATGACCAGCTCGAGCGGACCACTCAAAAACTGGGCAACAACAATGGGAGCCAAAGCTCTACCAACCTGTAACAACGAAGCCCAACACATCCTAAAACTCAAACAAATGGATTTAAAGGATGACAACAAGATAGATACAACTACCAACTCCACGGAACCGAGTCCGGAATACAACTGAACAGTAAAGGGACAACCGGGATCGCTATAACCTTCCCCCTTAAAGAATTTCGTCCCCGAAATTAAACACAAGTTTTCAAAAAAAAAGTTTTCCTCAATTCCCAACAATGTTATAACACAACATTAAACAACCCGACTCATTACCGGTCGATCTCATCTCTTTTCAAGAGGCAAAACGCATCATATATATATCAACTTGCATTATCAACATGCATTCCCTTGAAATTTACCAATTTCAACACATTTTCCACAATTCTACCACATCTGCAACATTAATGTCATGTTTTCATTTCCACAATATATTTAACACACACGATGTTAAAACAAACTTCCAGTTTTAAGGCAAGTTCTACAACATTTCCATAAACCAAAACATCACTATGTTTTACAACTTAAGACATATACAATCCTCTTAAGGTTCAATAATATTACAAAATCTCAATACATAATTATACATCAACAAGCAAGTCCGGATAATTCTCACAGACATCCGCCTCACGTTCCCAAGTGGCTTCCTCCACTCTGTGATGTTTCCACAAAACCTTTACCAAGGGGATGGTCTTGCCTCGCAAGACTTGATCCCTCCTATCCAAGACCTGAACCGGTCTCTCCTCATACGAGGCATCCTCATCAATCTCTAAGTCGGTCCAATCCAATACATGGGACGGATCCGGCTCGTACTTCTGAAGCATACTCACATGAAACACGTCATGAACTCCGGACAACTGCGGTGGCAAAGCTAAACGATAGGCAACCTCGCCAAGCCTCTCAAGGATCTCAAAAGGGCCAATAAACCGAGGGGACAACTTCCCACTCTTCCCAAACCTCATCAATCCCCGCCTAGGTGATATCTTCAGAAAGACATGATCACCCACGTCAAATACCAAAGGTCGCCTCCTACGGTCGGCATAAGATTTCTAACGACTCTAGGCTGTAACAAGCCTCCTACGAATAAGCTCAACTTTCTCCATCGTTTCCCTCACCAACTCCAGACCCAACAAAGGTGCATCACCCACCTCGGCCCAACAAACTGGAGACCTACACGGTCGGCCATACAAGGCCTCAAACGATGCCATATCGATATTCGACTGAAAGCTGTCGTTGTAGGCAAACTCCACCAAGGGCAAGTGCCTCTCCCACGTCCCACTAAAGTCAAGGACACAACCTCGAAGCATATCCTCAAGGATCTGAATAGTACGCTCGGACTGCCCGTCAGTCTGAGGATGATAAGCCGTACTAAAGGTCAACTTAGTGCCCAAGGCACTCTGCAAACTCTGCCACAACCTAGCAGTAAAACGAGGATCTCTATCTGAGACGATCGTCACTGGACCCTGTGCAACCTCACTATGTCCCGAATATACAAGTCGGCAAGATGATCTACCGAATCCTCTCGCGCGCATAGGAATGAAGTGCGCTGACTTAGTCAACCGGTCTACAACCACCAAATGGCATCACTACCCTGCTGAGTCCTCGGAAAACCTACAACGAAGTCCCATAGTGACATGCTCCCACTTCACTCTGCAATAGGCAAGGAACAAACCCGTTGGCCTTTGATGCTCGGCCTTCACTTGCTGGCAAGTAAGGCACTTAGATACGAAAGCTGCCACATCTCTCTTCATACCCCGCCACCAAAACTGGCGACCCAAATCCCGATACATCTTAGTGCCTCCCAGATGCACCGCAAGGCGTGAATGATGAAACTCTCGGAGTACCTCCTCTCGGCAAGACTCTAGCACAAACAAACGGTCTCGGTATCTCACACTCTGGTCGGGATACACCGTCAAACCCTTC